TTTCGGCTTTGATGTTTACTTTGGCTGTATGTATGCTACCTATGGACGTGAAGGAGGCGAGAGAGATGTGTCACGATCGTGTCAAATGAAAGTCTTGTAGTCTCTGCCAACACCTCTGGATGATAGGCGTGAATTTTTATATTTAGGTTTAAAATAACAGTTACTACTAATTTTTAACTAACTATAATAAAAAGTAGAAGTTATGAAAGACGGAGAGAACGAAATTATAAGAGTTCCTTGAATGGCAGCGGAACTCAAAAACGAGTCTATATTCTTACAAACACATTTAGCACTCCACATAAAAAGCAAACAAAAGCATCAAAGCAAGAGAGCAAACTTTTGGAAAGTAAAAGTTGCCCATTAGGGCGGCTACGGCCATAGACGGTTTATTGAAATAGTTATGTTCGAGGGAGGTAATTTTTAAAAATTGCTAAAAACGAGGGCTCTGTACATTCGGTAGCAGTTTAATGGAAGCGATAACAGTAAAGTTCATAGCCAAAGTTCGCTCCGACGAGTTTTGTGGATTACTGAGCTGTGTTCACATAGGGCTGGTTCAATTTTGTTAGTGTTGAGCGAATGCGTAGTTTCACGATAAAGGCTTGTTTGATACAACACAAAAACCACAGGTATTTTTAGATATCCCAGTTTAAAACGTTTAAATTTGGTAAACCACGTGGCTTCACGGTGTGGGTTCGAATCCCAACTGAAATTAAATGTTTCCTTTTTTCTTTGATTCTAATATTTGTTACATGTCATATTTACGATTATACCTAAAAATATATTGCGCTCAGTTATCAGCTTCTGATTTTTAAGAGTACCTAATTCGCCGGAAAAAATCATAACCTCGATACTTCTATTTTTTATTATTTTGCAACTGCAATTATATTATTTTGCTATTTCATTATATATCATGCAACGCCTATGAACCCATTCAAAGTTAACTAAAGAGACTAGGGGCCTCGTCGTTCAGCTCACAAACTAGCCATTAGCGGCGGCTATGGTTTTGCCATCACGACCACTGTAACTACGTCGCCAGACGGCGTGCCAATGTAATTACGACCGCAATAACTCACATCCGACCGCAGTAGAATTTTTAACTATATTTGTCCAATTGTGAAATGCGATTTACTATTCGATACGACTAACACAATACGGGCATGCTGAGTGACCGTGTTTGAATTTGTAAGTGCATATTATATGCAGGCATCGACGAGAATCGCGATGAGTGATGATGATGTTTTGCCGATATCGATAAATAATCGATAAAAATAAATGCGTCAAAATACAATGTCGTTCGGCAAATTTATATATCGGATTTATAAGAGTGTGAAGAGACCGTCACAGTGGTACGTGCATAACTGAAAGAAACCGAAAAAATCACCTTCAGGTGATTGCCAAATCCAGGACCATGGTCCGTTTAGTGTCTGAGCCAGCAGTGTTCAACACAAGAATACAAGAAGTGTTTCGTTTACTACGAGTTAAGGTTTGTGAACGTGGTAGAGCTATGTTGAAGCTATATTGTGGTTGCAGCACGAAAAAAAATGTCGGCTCGTCCGGGGTTTACCACGCTCTCACAGAATACCAGCGTAAAATAGCAGCTTAATGTTGATGTGTATCGTATGGTGGGTGTAGAGAACCTGAGACCGTTTTTACTGGAAACGAGGCATACTATTTCAGTGCTCAGGGGTGACAACGCACCTGCATTTTGATTCTTAATTGAGGATAAATGTAGATGTCTATGGCCCACAGCATCCACTTACCATTAGCTTGTTTATCACCCTTATTCTACAAAAAAAAGTTTTTATTTGGAAAAAAATCAGTGTAAATATATCATTATCTTTAACCTAAACGTGGGCCTTCTCGCGGTAGAGAGCATTGACTGACGATCGCAAACACAGGCGTCTCGCATCTTCGACGCAGCAGTCTTTTCTTTCTTTACGTGTAGGACCTAGGAATAGCAGCATAATGCTGCTGTGTTTCGTATGGTGAGTGTAGAGAACAGGAGATCCTTTTTACTAGAAACGAGTCATTCTATCTTAGTCTTCATGGACACTTAATTGAGTATTAATGCAGATGTCTATAGACCATATCCACTTACCAAAAGGTGGACAGTGCGCTCGTTTGTCACCCTTATTCTATGAAAAAAAAAATGCACGTGCAGCAGCCCGTCGCCGGTCTAAGTAATTATAAGTCTTGCGTCAACAAGATGATTATACTACCATCTATCAAAAACCATGAGTTTTTTTTTTTTCATTTCCCATAGTCGCCTCTTACGAGACCCACAGGATGAATAGGAACGATGGATTCTATTACCATCAACATACAGCTCAATGACGATCCTTAACGCTAATGGATGTTGTAACTTTAACAATTGTATCGATGTTCTTTTTTGTTAAGATTGCAAAACTATAGTCTAATAGCATAATAAAACGAGATTGTTCCTTGTGCTTTTTTTTCTTTCCTTTGAATTCAGTAAGCGTGAATACGATTAACAGGAAGTAAAATCCTTAACAGCTCATTCCTATGATTTTAACAAATTCTGCCGGTAAAAATCTCGCGCAGTATTCTCACATGGGAAACGAGGAACTGAGAACAATAACAACACTTAGCAGAGCGACTGGAATTTCGGTTAATACTGTCGTTTCGGTCGTTCCCCGGCATCGTCGTAAAAGTAAGTTTACTCGTTTAAAACGTCGCGATGTGTACTTTCACAAAAAGATGGGGGGCGGGAGGTAGGTGTTTCTGATTACCCTACTCCCATAAAAAGTAAAGGAATATTGCCAACTTTATATTGTACTGAAATTATATTTTTATTATGAGCACTTAATACAGTATTGTAGCAGTAATGTTTGTAACAAAGATTAAGGAAAATGCAAGTTTTCGTAATTGGCCAAAGTTTCAGGTTAGAACTCTTTAGAATGCCCTAGCACTAGGAAACTGTAATGGGTGCCTTTTTATTCAAAGTTATTACTATGTTATGTAGTAGGTACGATAGCAACGCAAGATTATTGTCCCCACTTCGTCACGTAGTTGTCGTATCATAATAAGTCGACTAAGGGAAACGCGATGAATCAATCTTTGTTCTCCAAAAGGTGACAGAAACCATCTCGAATATATTGAACTAAAATTTATTTTTATTATATTCCAATTTATTTTTTATTCAGGTACTGTGTAGTATCAGTTTAAGAGAATTCACTGCCCGTATCAACTTGTGGGTATCGCATGAAGAGCGACAGAGGAAAACTAAAACAGAAGCTGAGCAGTAGCACCTTTCTGGCAACAGCTCAAAATTATTTAAAAAAAAAATAACTGCGGTTGTTAATTCGCCCAACAGCCGTAGCAATTATTACAACTATTGAATATGAATATAGCCTTACCCGATAGATTGCCTCATAGCAGAGATCCTTTTGAGGTAATATATAATGAAGCCCTATGTTTAGCAGTGGTCTGTTGATAAGCTCTAATGAATGAATTAATTAATCAGAAAGGCGACTGAATGCAGAATGTCTGCAGAAAGTTTTGTATCGCTACCTCCAATCCGTAACTTCATTTTTTTGAAATAATACAATTTCCAAATGAGTGTGCCCCATGTCCATCATTAAATTGTTCACGGAGTGACAATGTCTTATATAAAGAACATAATACTATGTATAATGATTGTGTACCTATTTTGTTTTCGTTATCTTCACCTCATTTCGTGAGTAAAGTATTCTGTTAGAATGAAAAAACGAGTTCTTGCAAAATTGTCACAAAACCAAAGCTTTTATCAAGCATCTGAAAAGCTTTCAATATTAAGTAATCGGTTTCTTAGTAATTTCATTTGAGACCTATAAGTGAATAATTTTCTTCAGTCAGGAAAAGAAATTGTACTAACCCTGAATTTTCCTCATTTTATAATCATACAATTAAGATTGCAAAAGTAAATACAAAAAACGTTAGAATTTCTTTAAGCATTTATTTTTGCGTATAGAACTTAAATAACATGGGAAAGCTTTTACTTATAAACAAGCTTTATAGGTAACAATCTGAATTCCAAAGTGTAGCTATTTGAAAATTTATCAATAATCATTATTTATTAGAAAAAAGTAATGATGATAGTTATAATCAATAAAATATAATGTAAGATTAGCCTGCTAATCTGTTATAATAAAAAAATCTCAAAACTAGATATACATACTTTACTTTTATGCTATAAAAAAAAAAGTCCAAAGATAAAATCAAACATGAAGTGCTCAAACTCCTACAATAAATAACTTATCTATTTGTATTCGCATACCATAAATTACAAAATTAAAAGATATAACACTGTTTGTTTAGAGAATTATGGGGATTATAGGAATTATATTATTTGTGTCTAACGGCGTATGACATCTATTATACCACTAATCAAAAATAAATGCATTATAAAGTTAGTACTGATAAAAAGAGAATTGTTTTACTCTGATCAGTATAATATAATAATTATTAATTAAGATGGCGAAAATAATGTTGCGGTAACCACTTAATTATTTACGCATACCATGAGTGGTTAAAGAGAATATTAGTAGTGTTATTGCTTTACTAGTATACTATATAAAAAATGTTATGTTAATTACTTACTATGAAATATTTATACCATTGTAACGTTGAAAAATAAAAATAATAACATCACAGATGTGTGTGAACATTCGAACCATTCAAATTAAAAATGGACTACTTTATGAAGTATGTATGTATGTGGATACAGTCTAGTTCTTAAGTACAAATTAATCTTAATACATGTTATATTTTGCTAAACATGTGTGCGTGAACGATATTGAAGATTTCAGGAAGATTCTCAGAGAGTACAATTTATTTTCAAATTCTACTTTAATAACACATATTCAGTTGTTTAATCTTTTAGAACCATTCAGCTTTTTATATGTTATAACAGGATTTAATTGCGCCTATGTTTTACGCCTGCTTTGCACTTTACCAAAAGTAGTTGCTAGAATTTTCGCTAATTTCAATTTCATTATTACCTGTAGCGGCGGCTGCGAGCCAGGCGGCAGATGTGGCGGATGCTGGGAGTCATGTGTGGGGGACAACGCACCAGAGCTGGGCGCAGCGCCTGGGCTCGGGGCGCCTGGAGGATGGGAGGGCGGCTGCGGGGATCCACCGCGCTCGTAGCCCTGTCAACAACGATTTCCATAATTGTGTTAAACTTAAAATGTATGAGACGTGTCTTAAATAAAACATTATATATCAATGTTAAATGCTAAATAGCAAACTAAGGAAACGCTTAGGTACACGCCGTACCGAATCCTTTATAACTTTTCCTCGTATGTCGTAGGTGTCGTAAAGTCGACTTAAATAAATGTCAAAAAGATCTTAGTGCATCTGCTACTCCTTGTGTATATTATATAAAGCCTTATATACAGAGATCAGAAACGATAATCAGGGTCGAACTATACAGAGGTTTGATATTGTACAGTAAAGAAATGGGAGTAGTAAAACATTTAAGTAAATATTATCAACAAATCCATTTTAATGCAGGAATCATGAAGCTGAACACACAGTATCTATCAAGTTTTTGATGCTTTCGTTTAAGCTTATTATAAGGATAATATACGTATAGCTTATTATAACACTAATATATTTATAATATGGTATATTCTCGTTTTTAACTCGTTAAAAAATAGCGGTACAATCGCAAAACTACTCAATAACTCGGAGTTATTTACAATGCAATAATAAAAGCTCTGTACTTGACCGTGAATTTGAAGCGACGAATGAATGAGATCATAGCAATAGACCGATTTTTTTACTGCTTTTTCTGTTTACGTAAAAATATTACCGCATATATAGGGCGCCACACGGCTATGCTACTCGAAGGGAAAGTACTGTAAATATTGTAATATACCAAATTATGCTTCATGAAGACTTTATTTAGTTTTTATAAGTAAATAATACTGCATTCAATGCAATTCAATTCAAAAAAGGTTGCTTGCCTCATATAAGAATCGAACCGACCATATGTAAATAACATCCTCTATTTTTATAGTACCGCTAGAAAATTTGTAATTAGACCCGCAGTCGAACGCACATCGCACACTCTTCATTTTTCCCAAAACGTTTTTAAACATTACAAGATTTAAAAAAGTCTTAATGACATTAGGATCTCTTCCTGTATCGTGGAGGCAGTTTACATACGAGGGCTGCACTAAAAGTATCGGGCATGGAATATTTCCACTGTTCCTGTCATATTAATTTCTTTTAATTGAAAAGTCCTTGGTTTTAAAAATCGAATACCATTTATTTATTTAAAAAAAGATTCTCGGTTTTGTCACAAGGTTTTGTCAAACTTGTTTAGTCGTTGAGAAAATGCGATGATTTATTATGACTTTCGAAGTGGTTTAACACAAAAACAGTGTGTTGACCGGATGATTTCTGCATTTGGTGATGAAGCCCCATCCAAAACCACAATTTATCGCTGGTTTGCTGAATTTCAACGTGGACATGTCAAGCTCAGTGATGATCCCCGTCAAGGTCGTCCAAAAACTGCAGTCACCCAAGAAAACGTTGATGCTGTGCGTAAGCTGATTGAGGAAGATCGACATGTGACATACCGCGAAATTCAGACAACTTTAGACATTGGCATGAGTCAAATACAAATAATCTTGCATGAACAATTAGGTGTAAAAATTGTTTTCCCGATGGATACCGCATTCGCTCTGTGAAGAGCAAAAAGCGGCTCGCGTTACTTGGTGCGTCAGAACTCTCGAAAGATTTCACGCAGGATCCTCAAATGCTGTATACAACATCGTATCAGGTGACGAATCCTGGATATACGCGTACGAACCCGAAACAAAAAACCAGTCACGAGTTTGGGTGTTCGAAAATGAGTTAAAGCCAACAAAAATTGTTCGTTCACGGAGTGTTGCAAAAAAAATGGTGGCCACGTTTGTCTCCAAAACTGGCCATATTACGACTATTCCTCTTGAGGGACAAAGAACGGTTAATGCAGAATGATATGCTAGCATTTGTTTGCCACAGGTCGTTTCTGAACTCCGTAAAGAGAACTACAACCGCCGCATCATCCTCCATCACGACAATGCGAGTTCTCACACCGCACACAGAACAAAAGAGTTTTTAGAGCAAGAAAACAGAATTATTAGACCATCCGCCGTACAGCCCCGACCTAAGCCCTAACGATTTCTATATTTTCCCTAAAATAAAGAATAAATTGCGTGGACAGATTTTCATCACCTGAAGAAGCTGTGAACGCCTACAAAACGGCCATTTTGGAGACAATTTTATGAAGATAAACTTTGTTCTTTATACCATGTTATTTAGACGCATAGTTTAAGAGATAGGTAATGTAAAAAAGCTTCTAGGAGCGAGGTTAGTTCAATCATTATAGCTAAAATAAATAAAAAAATTAATTGAGTACTTTTATGACAATGATTAGTTACATCTTTATTTCTGAACTCTTTCATTTCACGTTGCTATGGTATTTTGAAAATTTAATTGATTAATAAGTATAAGAGTTTGACAGCTCAAGAATCATTTCATGCCTACACACTTTTCATGTATCGTGTACGGTTTTCTGTAAAACTAGAAAAACCGCGCTTCGGGACACTTTCTGGGACGTGGGGGGGGGGGGGGGGGGCCTCAACCGAAAGGGGGAGGGAAAGTGGATGAAACTTAACTTCGCTCTACATCATACATAATATGCCGACAGATAAAAGTACTCCATTAATTATGCCAATTTTTCCCTACTTTGCTATCAAATAAAATATTTAATTGCAATAATAAAATGCTCGAACCAGGTGATGCCGCGCACCTCCGACACGTGATGACGCGGGTGAAATCGCGGGGCACACCTAGTATTTAATATATTTTGGTTTAGTTTTATACCGCATTGTATGATTGATTTCTTGTGATCAATAAAATGCCGTATCTACATAATAAAATAAAATTGAAGTGTCTATTTGTAATGTCAAAATAACATCTTGTTACGAAATGGATATGAATATTTAAAGGGTAGTTATAACAAAAAAACTATTTTAAAAATTCTTGTCTCTCTGTCTGTTTGTTCCGGCTAATCTGTAATCTTAGAAATAGCTGAACTTTCACTGGCAGATAGCTGATGTCATAAGGAGTAACTTAGGCTACTTTTATTTTAGAGTCCTTGCGAAAAAATCAAAAAATCCAATCGTAATAAATTTAAGGCGGATGAAGTCGCGAGGAACAGCTGGTTATTAAAAATCTAATCAATATGTTTATGGGTATAATATGTTTCTGATAAGAAGCACAATATCTCAACGACATCAACTGGGCATTTCACGTGGAGCTTACCGTTAGTTAATATGAAACGTGAGGTTGTGTTGACAAATACAAACAAAGGCTAATTCAAACGTCTCGCACACACACAATAGCCGTAGGATAAAACAATCGGGCGCGTGCAAAAGCAGGTCGACGGCCAGAGTCGGCCTTGACCGTGCATCCATTATGCACACCCGTTTACTTGCGAATAAGTGCACCTCCACGCATCCATATTGTTTTATAGGTATGTCGTTAAAGCGCGATTTCATTCACAACACTGCAGAACATAAATAAAGCTTATCATTTAGTAACTTGTTGTTTAACGGAATCTCTGAGACAGAAACTGTGTTAAAGTTGTGAGCCATACTTAAAACTATTAATTATTCTAAAATATTGTTATTAATTATTGTAAAAATAAAAACCAATTGTTATTAAAAAAAAAAAACTGACAGCAGTGACTAGTTAGTAATTAGTAGTAATGTCTGCATTTTTATTGTGCAAGGGTAAGCTTATTTTTCGGCGGTAAAAACTGTACCCTGTTATAATTATCCATGACATCTATCTGTCCGTGTTTGAGTAATGCACCTTCACACATTTTTTCAAATATAATGTTAGTACAGATGAAATAAGTAATTAAATAATACGTTTGTCAGCTAATATTTTAAGATTACCTATATTGTAGTAAGTAAGTTCTGGTAATATAACAATTAAATGAAGCCTAAGACAATCCGGAGATGAAGACCAATCATTTTTAAAAAGAACAAAAACAGCAATAGATAGGTCAAATAAAGCGTTGACTGCGTGCACAAAATGCGGTCAGCAAAAATCTAATGGAGACAAATTTGTGCATATAAATAGTAATGTATGTTTACATGAAACCATAAAATTAATTAACGTAGCACTACGCGTTATTTTTGTTTCAACCATTATCGTCACGAATACGAACACGTCAATCAGCTTTGTATTATACGTCATAAACTGAAACGAAGAACGAAAAGCGGCGACGCAACTCATTCATTACAAATTCATTACTGAAGCAGCGCGTCCTCGACACAGTTTGCTAGTTCGCTGCAGACATTGATTGCATCAATCGCACAATGCTTTCACTCCGCAGCTAGTTTCCGCGTCACGTTTCAAGGCTAAAGATAAGGTTAGACCGATATTTACTACTTCAGGTCAATTCGAGTCATTCGCTTTTTACGGTTTTAGTAACTTGCAAACTAGTTCAATTTTTCTCTTTTTAACTAGTGATCCGCGCTTTAACATATTTTTTTACCATAGTATACTTTTTAAAGAGACACTAGACTAGACTATACTTTCTATGAGACAACTTGATCAATTTTAATATAAATCTAGTAGTTTTGATCATCATCATTACAGCCCTTCATAAGACCACAGCTTAACAATAAATCTTTCCCCAAGGAATGCCACAATGCACGGTCATGACCAACCTCATATCTATCGACTTCCTGCATCAGTTACTATATTGTCGTCTGATCATCAACTACAATCATCATCATCATTACAGCCTTTCATAAGTCCACTGCTGAACATAGGCCTCCCCCAAGGAATGCCACAAAGCAGGTTCCCGAGCCCCCTGCATCCATCGACTTCCTGCATGTCTTACCAGGACGTCACTCCATCTAGTGGGGGGTCGCCCTACACTTCGCCTACCGGTACGAGGCTGCCACGCGAGAACCTTTCTTCCCCATCGGTTGTCGGTTCTTCGAGCTATACGGCCGGCCTACTGCCACTTCAGCTTACTAATCTGTTGGGCTGTGTCGGTTACTCTGGTTCTACTGCGAATATCCTCATTTGTAAGTTTATCACGCAGAGAAACCCCGAGCATAGCCCTCTCCATAGC